AATGTTTCATTTTTAAATTCAAACTCTTCTAAGTTGTGAAACGTAATTTTTTGACTCCAAAAAAAAATATTTGCACTGTGACGGAGCTCATTAATATTACAAAAGTGCCCAAAATAAAAGTGTTTATAACACTGTGTGAAGCAAATAAATATCTGCCACTTTGTTTTTGAAAATACATGTTGTTTATTGTGTGGGTGTAAATGTGCTTTGGTCAATTTCTATTATTATGTAAATGATGTGCAATTGATATGCAAATTAGGCCGCCACAGTGGTTTAAATTCCTGGGGAGAACACTGTTGTTTATTCATTCTCATTTGGTGACATTTTCACTTCATTTTGATCACACACAAAAAGTTTTAGTTTATACTTAATAACTACATTTTTGTATTTGTAAGACATCAAAAAACAAACCCCTGAAAACAATTTGTTAAGCTAAAACTAGAAGCCACCTCCATTTTGCAATCAATTCTACTCTAAGCCAATATAAGAATGTTTCACGTTGCCAGCTACATTATTGTACACAATTGAACCATTGAACAATCATGCGATTTAAGACCAAAATGTTAAAAGAAAATACCTTTGATCACCGGTCATCGCACTGCAATACACCATATTTGCTCTATTAGAAGCACATCTCCAACAGAAGTACATGTACATCAAACATTGCATTGCATGTGTGCTGGATCATATAGTTTGACCGTAGATACACCTCATTTAGGCAAACACAGGTGCTAATAGAACAAAAACACCATTACACTGCCTGGGTTCGACAACTGTGGTCCTTCGATCATTTTCACACCAGCCACCACAAGGTATGCATCTCCAGTTCAAAACAGTTTTGATGTTTGCTCGGAAATGGACAGAATTTTTACATTTTATAATTAAAATTCACTGCCAAACAAATTTTTTTCCTGAAGGCAATGTTAATCTTAATTTCTACCAGCCTGAAAAATAAAGAGGCAAGCAGGCAGTAATTTCAAACATAATACTGATATATAACGATATCAATATACCCAAGTACATACTTGTCACAACACAAAGCACCAGATAGTGAGCTGGTTTAGTGTCCTACAATCTGTGTATAATTTAATTAAACTAACAATATACTAGTAAGTAATCATGGGATTTAGGTTTCTGGGAATATATAGTGGGAATGAACCTACATATACTGGGAGTAACCGTTTGAAATGACTGGAATCATAGACTCTCAAAACAAGCAACCATATAAGTTGGTTAATGAATAGGTTAAAGGGTCAACTCTATTAGTACAAAAACAAATCTTGATGACTAGGAATTGAACTAAGCCAGCAATTAACTGAAGAATATAACTAATGAAATCTTCAAAAATAATTCATTAGCATGCATTAGCAAAGTACATTTGATGAATTCAAGCACAAAATTATGAAAATGGATTAATGTGACACTCAGTTGCAAGATGGTACATGTTTCCTATCTGTGAACTCCATTATATTCCTGACAAGGACAATGCGAATGAATAATTCAGTTATTGAACAATTCATTAAAAAGTGAATGAAAGGTTAAGCCTAATGCAATTATAACTACCTGACTGGTTCTGAAGTAGCGAAAATGCTATGAAAGCTTTTCAGTCAAAATATTATCAGTGTTAGCTATTTTAAAAATACATATATGCAGACAGGGTCCGAGCCAGTCTTCAATCGGATTGGTAATTGTTTTTTCTTCTAAAAATGACACAAAATTCAATTTAGCTTTTTTTTTTTTATTAACTACCTTTCCTTTGAAAACTTCGAAAGTAACAAGTGATTTTATGTATTACAAATGCAAAGAACTAGAATACAGTTCTAATTTGGTAATACAACATACATGTACTCTAAAGTCTTAGAAGGTGGCTGACTGCTAAATAGCCATTTACTCTTTTCCCCAAATGGCACATTAGTTGCCTACTTTTCTAAATACTGTTAGTGAAAAAATACAATTTAGCCACCTACTCTCT